CCTGGAAGTATTTGTCCCTTTTCCTGGACAGGAGGCAGAGGAGGTGACAGCAGAACACATCCTGTATCAGGATGGGCACAAATGTGCTTTCTGCAACACTCAAAACCACAAGGGACTACCAAGTTAAGATTTATAACTGTTCTCCAGAGGCATTTACTAACCCTAGCAAGCAGAACACATACTTTTGGGAGCTTTGATTTTTAGGGAGTAGCACTATGCCTTTATTTTGCCTGATTATTTGTACCTGCTTTAGATGGTAGATACGATCTGATGTGCTCATCTTCCATTACGAGAGCCTCCACTTTTCACCACTGACTGTCTAAGGAAAGTCTGCTCCTACCTTAGGTGCTTGGAAATCTCACCATCTTAGATATTAATTAAAAAAAAGACTGACAATTAAAAAGCTTGGATTTTTCTTTTTGGGGTATTTTTTTGCCCTGTGCACTTTGAAGTTGTAGGGAAGAGCCCAAACTCCCTTGGAAAACTGGAAAGAAGTATTCTGCTTGGAGGTAGTTCTGGTCATAAGTTATAGTTTGTGTTTTGTGAACTCTTTGATGCTCACTATTTATGGGATGTTACTGGAAATCACTGCAGTACTTGGAAGATGACTACATTAGTATGATCTTCACCAGAAGCTGATTACTAGCTGACACTGCCGTTAGAAGCTAAGCTGGTGAACACGATATCAAAGGGAAGACTGAACTAATTGGAAAATAAATAAGGGCAAGGGAATAAAGATCCTCTTTTGATATGAGAACCTTTGGTATAACAAAAGAACAATGAAAGAACAATAAAAGCCCATTAAATTGCAAATGTTCAACTCTTTCCTCTAAGTGTTAGCAGCCCTTTAAAAGTGAGCAGTGTTTTAAATCTAGGGGGATTTGAAATCCTCCAGGACAGAAGCAGTTTGTGAAATATTTGTAACTTAAATAAAAAGAGGAGGAAAAGTGCAAACTCTTCCCATATTGTCCAGAACCATCAAAGCTACGTGCCAGAGGTATGCCGCCAGTGTAATAAAACCCATCATTTTTATTGCTTTGGGAATGGGGATGGAAGGAACCTGCCAAGAGATGCTAAGAATGAAAAGCTGTGCCTGAAGCCTGGTGGGAGTTTAGTTTATTTTGGTACGCTCAAAACTGTGTCAACCTTTTCCATGAATATTTCATTGGTTCTTAAAAGGAAAATTATCATGGCTCTAATACATTACTACTTATATTTTAAAGTGTTTTCAAAATACTTATTTTATTCCTTCTCTACACCCTTCTGCAGCAGGCCACAGAAATGCTGTGCTGCATAGTTATAATAAGGCTCTGAATTATATGATATATTTGATATAGGAATGATTTTGATATGTTTTTCAGATGTTAGCCTGAAGAAATTCTGTTCCGGGTTGCAGTCACTGGGATCCTTGATTCATATGGGACTGCAGGCAGTCTGTAAGTCCACATTCATTTATCATTCTGAGTGTACTTTGAGTTTTCCAGGAAAGGTGGAGTATGAAAGACCTGGAATTGCTATGTATTTTCAAAAAGCCAGAAGACTGGATGGAGCATGGGATAGGAGAGTGGAGTGCAAACTATATTCTCTTCATATCAGTTGCTCAGACTCAGTTGTGAAAACCAGTTTTGAGTATCATTGTCGTTCAGAGGGTATTTAGTGACCTGCGAGGAGGAAATCACTGTGATCCTAAAGAAACAGTTTTCCACAGCATGCAGAATGCTGCATGCCAACACACCTGTTGGTACCTTGGTATCTTGGATACCTAATGAAAATAGCCTAGAGGGGAGCAAGGAAAAGTACATTTGTTTATCTGGGCTGTTGAACATCCTCTGTGAAGACACAGAACACACTTTGAAGGGTTAGTTCTGTTGGTATTGAGAAATCAGGTTCTATAGCAGTAGTTCACCAGGAGTTTCCTCAGGAAGAAAAAGCTGCTTATCACTGTTACTATCACTGTTTCAGATTTCTTCTTTGTAACATTGCTAATCTGATTCTTTCTGAAGGCTAGACAATTTCAGAAGGTAAGTTTCCTTTGTAACTTTGTTGCTGAGATAGGGAAACCATAATGTCCCTTTCATGGAGCCTGATCTCCTCTCCCTCTTCAGGTTACTTTCCATGGTTCTTTTACCCTATGTTTTTCTTGGGTGTTCTGTGACTCCATCCCATCTGCTCTCCCAGTCTCCCCAGTATTCTGCATGGGACATGGGTTAAGCTATGGGTTTTGTAAGCGGTGTGGCTTTTTACCAGGAAACAAAAGGAGATAATTTCAGGACAATTAAGAATTGTTTGAAGAAAGGGACTGTCACACTAATTAACCTGTAGCTGCTTGGATGCGATGAAAGGAACATAAAGTCATAAGGATTTCTTAACAGTAAAAGAGCTAATATGAGAAGAGATTCTACCAGTTACCTTGTTGACTGGCAAAGCTCACAATCAAAGCTGCACAGAGTGAATTTGAAACCTGTGATTCTTTCCAAGGTGAATATGGTGACAAAATGATTAGCCACTCTCAGTGCACGTCGATCTTAATTAAAGCCTATCCCCCCGTGGTGATGCTATAGGCAGCCCAGCTTCCCCAGACACAGCATCAATCTTGTAGACAAAGACACTTCTTGAGGACATGTGCTATAATATTTTTTCTCTCCCATGTGGGGCTTTAAAGCAGAAGCATTCCTGTGGGCTCTAGCAGCCCCCAGGATCAGCGGCTCAGCACTGCCCCTTAACCACTAAAGCATTTCCTAGGGTGTATGCATTCCAAGAGCTGACACCAGGGTTTTCTTTTTCCTTTTGTGCTGTTAAACTAGCAATAAACATTCCAATAGGATCAACTTACAATATACCTTCATGAGTAGAAAGCATCTCCAGCAGAAGGAATGGCAGCTTCAAGTTGTTCCAGAACAAAACTCTGGGAGAATCACACTTGACCGGTTTTCCATGTGCCACCTGATTTCACTGATACACTTAACAGGCAGCTGGCAAGTTTGGAAGAATGAGACCAATAGAAAATTGTGGCCATAATGTATTTACCTCAAGCAGCTGTGTATTCAAATTGTGCTTAAGAACTTAAAAGGAAATTCATAGTACTCAACTTGTTGAATTGGTATTGAACTCCTGAATTGGTATTTCACTTCATATAATTACAACTTACTAGGCAAATTTAAGTGGAAATAGTCTCTTTAAAATCCCTTTATAAAATACAAGGGGTGGTGTACACAGATAGTAGTCATTTTTCAAAGTCCATAACTTCATTAGGTTAAGAGCAAAAATCCAAAACACAGCTCTTTCCGTTCACTCAAGTTGCTTAGATTGGACCATTCTGTTTTAAGTATTGTAAAGCCAATTCTGAAGGACACCACCCTCATGGGATCTAAATACAAAAGCATTAGATGAAGAAAAGTGACTTTTTGAAGTCTGGGTGTGAGAAAACTGGTAGTGGCAATGATATATTAATGTGTCAATGATGAATAAATACAAAACCTTAAAACTTGAACCAGCAGCAGTCTCATACATCATTCTCTCTCTTTTTTTAAAGGATATAAAAGATTTAAATGTCAGAACTATAATTTCAGAACTGTGTATAATGTCAAGTGATGCATGTTGCATACTCTTAGTATATTCCATTGATCAAACCAGATTCTGCGATAATAATTGCAGATGATGAAGCACGTTTCATGTGCAAATGGACATGGATTTTGAAGTGAATTTGGAAGAAAAATGTTTGCGTACTGAAGTCTTAATAATTGTTTTGTTCAAGCTGCACTGATCCATGCACAAATTATTTTGCAGGTCGCTGATGCTCCTGACAATAATTAATATTAGTGTGATGCCTGCAGGCCACTGTCAGCCAAGGAGAATTTATGATAGAATGTAGTAATCGGATAAAACTTGTTGCAGACTTGAGAGAGAATCAATCCCAACAGAACCTGAGAGAATTACAATTTTCCTTTTGCAGAGAGTTCATGCACCTCTGTTTCAGCTCACAGAATTAATCTCGTTATTTATGAAGTAAGGTTGAGTTGGGTTTAGCCTGGGTTCAGCAGTAGCAGTCATTTTCCTCCTTCTTAGTAGCTGGTGCAGTGCTGTGGTTTTGACTTTTGGCCTGGGAACAGCACCGATAACACCGATGGTTTTAGTTGCTGCTCAGTAATGTTTACTCTGACCATGGACTTTGTGAACCTCATGCTCTGCCAGGGAGGAGGGGAAGCCAGAAGGAAGCAGAGACAGGACACCTGACCCAAACTGACCAAAGAGGTATTCCATACCACAGCACGTCATGCCCAGGATGTAGAACTGGGGGCAGTTACCGGGAAGGGTTAGATCACTGCTCAGGTCGGGCTGCGTATCGGTTGGTGGGTGGTGAGGGGTTGTATTCTCTTCCCTTGTTATTTCCCTTATCATTATTATTATTGGTGGCAGCAGCAGTGATTTGTGTTATACCTTAGTTACTGGACTGCTCTTATCTCAACCCATGGGAGTTACATTCTTTCCATTCTCCTCCCCATCCCTCCGGGAGCAGGGGGGAGGAAGAGGAGGGGAGGGAGTGAATGAGCGACTACATGGTTCTGAATTACTGACTGGACTTAAACCACGACACTTCCTAAGAAAATTAGGCATATATGATCACACCATCTTTAAATGCCTTCTCTGTACTCCTAACAGCTACCACCTTCAGAGACAATTGCAAACCAGTTTGAAAGAAAGCAGAAATCTCAAAGAGATTAAATTGCTAAAAGCTTTTGCCCAGGTATCTGGACAGGACAAAGATACCTGAAGTAGTACTGTCTGTCGGGGAGGGCAAGAATAATTCAGCTGTTAGACAGCCTTTTTGGCAGAAGCCTGCAGTCCCATCAGTAGGACAAGTCTTGATACCTCTTACTTTTCGTCTGATGCAGCTGTGGCAGAAAGCCCAGTGGAAACTAATTGTTTCGAAAAGGAGAGCATACAAATCAAAGGACACACATCTCTAGGAAACCAGAGTGCTTACAAAATGGTTTTAGCAATTCCTTGAACTTCTAATTTTACTCTACAAAAACAACAGAATTTCATTTCAGCACTTTCATAAAAGGTTAATTTGAAAGAACAGTGGCTGAACCCTGCCAAAACCATCAAAACATCATGTTAGTTTAATTTAAAGATGTAATAAAATCAAAAGTGGTAGACAGCTTGATAAGGAGGATGCACATCTTGAGAACATTAAGCTGACTGAGGTGTTACCCAGCGAATTTACTCCAATTCTGAGTACTGATTAGAGCAATTTTTAGGTTAATGCAAATCAGGCTCCATTCTTAATTGATTTGAATACAACACAGTCCTACCTAGAAGATTATGTCCACACTTTAGACGGCAGGCTTAAAAGCCTGTCCCGATAAGGAGAAATTCATTAACTCCATGTCTTCTAGAAAGATTGCATTTTGTGATATTTTCATGATTTTATTGATTAGACTGAACAGCGTTCATGGAGAGCAAATAAGTTATTTGTACTGCGTCAAATAGCTTTTCTATCATAAGTGTGGCTGTCACAGTCATTAGTGAGGGAAAGAATAAAGAAGATAAAAGGAGAGATACGAAGTCAAGAGTGAAAGTTATTACTCCTGGAGCAGGCTGCTCAGTTTTGCCTGGGCAGGCTTCGATGACATCAAGCTCTTGAAGGTACCACGTATTATCTTCCTTGGAATGACGACAGAGATGCTGCTTCTGTCACTGGGTCCTTCAGATGCTGTGTCTCCTGCCGTTCTGTATGACTTTGAGTACGTTGGAAAGGTCAAAATTTTTTGTAATCAACTCCATGAGGTCCTCGTCGCTTTCAACACCAGTGATAAACTCTTCTAAAGTCAGTTCCCCTAAAAGGAATTCACATACTCCTTAGGAACCAAGAAACCCAGCAATCCCTCTCCATTCAACACAAGGCTGTTCGTGCCAGATCGAATCCCTCGGGAAGGTTCCCCATTCTCTGCTGATAGGCAAATGCAGGAAGAGTATTTGCTAATGTTTTCCCACTTTGCATCAGATCCCAGAACTCAGACTCACTTTTTTTCTGTTAAAACAGTTCGAACACAGCTTTCACTGAAGTCTAAGACAACTGTGAGTACTCCTAAATGTGAAAAAAGGCGCTAACAAAACCTTGTATCAAGGGTGAATTTAGGTGTATGGACCAGTTCTCACTGAGCTAACTGGAGTTTATCTTCTAGCTAGTTTTAACAAAAATTAAGGGCTTATTTTGCTGGGGATTACCAGGATTATTTATAACCAAGATAAAATATAGGCAAAAAAGAATTTAAGTGTTTTGATTACATAAATTCATGCAAGCAACTGAAATGGTCATTTAAAGTGTGATTTTTGAGGACCATGGCAAAATCAGGCAATACTTTGAAAGTTACAAGACAGCTAAAAGATTTCTTCTATTGAGGAGCAGGAATATTCTTCCTCTTTTCCCACTCTCTTCCCTGTCAGCAAAGGCAAAGGCCCCTCCTAGGAATATGTGTGCTTGTATAGTACACAGGAATGTACGTAATTATCTGGTTAGAAGTTACGATAACTGTGATTATTCCAGTGATAACTGCTTATGAGGGAAAAGCTTTATTTTTACTCAGAGAATGGTATAAAGTTTCTTGTTAAAATCACAAAAGTGAATGATTTGTCACTGAAATAAGAAATGGCAAGAGGCCAGGCAAAGAGGAAAATAGTTGGATGAATTAGGGCCCCAGGGTGCAGGGGAGCAGCAATTCAAGTTGCATGCACTTCTAGTGTATGCTTAGTTAAATGACTTTTGTCTATTTTTGGATTTAAGTACTCCCCAGAGTACTTTTGTGTTTTGGTTTTTGCCCATTGCAACCTTGGAAACCTCATCTGAGATGAAAAAGGAAAATGATCAGCATTTGAAAAATGTGACAACCACTTTCTACATGGGCAGTAAAGGTTGCTTCCTTTTCAGTCATATGAGTCATCACTGCACTGGTGAACAGGCTTCTATACACACTACTAAAGTGGAAATACATCATTTGACAGAAATCCTGGCTGTTAGGCTTCAGTGAGAGGAGTAAGACCCTCGCCAGGGGCTGGCATGTAGTGTCCTGAGGATGTTTTTGCTTCCTCTTTCAGCACCAGTTCCCCTATAACATCATCCCAGGAGCAGAAATGGAAGAAGCCATCTCTGTATGCTTGTCTGAGTCCTCCTGCTTTTGCCTCTCATTCCTCTGATCTCTTCTATCCCGGGCACTCCTCTTATTTCCCATCTCCTTCCCTCTGTGTTGCTTTTGACTGAGGTCTTTGGCTGGCTGGGGTTCCTGGACTCATCAGATGCACAGGCTGCATCATTTTCATGCTTATGCAGGTCAACTGGTCTTGAATTCCCTCCTCTTGATCCCAGACTATATATTTCAAAGTACCAATACCAGCGTGCAAGCATACCAAATCCACTGCAGTTACCAGGGAGATGTGGTTACACTGGCATACCAAACTCACTGCAACCATGACAGGTCTCAGATTTCCTGGAGCTAATGAAAATAAATCACAAAGCCATTGGGAGTTTTGTTTTAACAATTGCTCCTGACAAGTGTGGGATTATTTCTTGTATTTTAATGTGCGGGAGGACATGGCAATTTATTTGTCTATTTGCCCTTTTCTTTACTGAGAAGCTACAAGGAGCTTAAACTACAAGAAAGTAGCATAGTTTAAGCTAAAATTGGTGAAATTTGTCCCATTCCCCAGGTGACGCTGGTCCTGCTGCTTTGCAGCTATTTAAAAAATGGAAAGCAGTTTGAAATGGGAGTATTATGAAGATAAATTGAATAATTCATGTTCTGGCACTTCATTGCTAAAACGTAAGGCGCATGAGTTGTTTTTTCAGCTGATGGTCTAGCTCAGATACGGTTATTGGCAGTAAGCATATGGTCAAAGCAGGAGTCAAAATATGAATAATCACACAATTTGGGTTAGACACTAGATTATGATTATATGTTATTTGGAGTCCTTTGGTTATTTGCCTTCCCCAAAAGCTGGGCCAAGCAGGTGGGGAAAAAAATCCTCCATGAGTTATTCACATGCACCACAACATCACTGTTTGTACTCTGACTGTATATAGCAAACAGCTATTTTAAAAAGTAACCTTAATGTAGCAAGTAAGACCAGAAAAATGAACAAAAACCAAAAAAAGCACCCCAGATTCCTCACTAGGTGACTTTGCTCTGCAATGTTTTCCTAATATTCCTAATTTTCAATGATTGCAGTAACTGACGTAAAACACAATTGCTGGTGGAAGGAGGATTTTCATGGCTAGAAGTATGAGGGAAGACATTCCCATGTGCAAGTGTGCTACTAGAAACAACTCCAACTTAAAGGTTTGGTTTCCAAATGCAAGTCCAACTGACTCAATGCAGTTACCTTGAATAAAACCAGTGGCATGTGTTAGCAGTCAGCCTTCAAGGGACATTAGTTGGTTCTCTCATCCACTTTAGAGATTAAGAACAGAAATACACTAAAATAACCTCCTTGATCACACCTTTGTTCTTCTGTGCAGTCAGAGTACTGGCACTTTGGATGCACAGTGCAAGACCTCCACGTTTTAGCCCCTACTGCATTGTAACTCCTCTGTCAGATTAATAGAGACAGTTGATTTATTTACTTCACTGTAAAGCTGAAGCAATATGGGTAAAGAACACATTCAGGCTTTCTGTTAATCTGATCCAGTCAAGCCTTCAGTAGCATGTTCAGCTCCCCTCTTGATCCCACACTTCCTTATGGGGGAAAATCCCTGCCAGTGCCAACAAAACCTATATTCTTACCGTCATTGTTCACGTCTATCTTCTGAAATACAATGTTTGTGAACTCTTCAGCAGACATGTCACTGTGGCCGTTAATAGCTTGAATAGCCTGAAGGCAGAAAGGGAGAAAGTTCTTTCAGGCTCTTTTCCCCATCAGGTTGTGAAAACAATACACTGGCAGCTGCAGGATTTGAGATGCGGCTCTTTAGCTCACCAACCCTCTCAAAAATTACTAAATAAATAGCTGTTTCCAGTAATGAGGATTGGAAATTTAATTTACATAACACAGCCTGAAGATCACAGCCTAATTTCCATATCTCTGAAGGTCTTCTGAACCCATGTGGCACCTCTGCTCTGCAGTACACTTTAGATTCCACACCAGCGTTTTTATCTGGCCCTGGGGAGTTCTGTGTCTTTGGCGAGGGCCCTGTGGCCTGTGTGATTTGAGTATTGTTTTTCACAGCTGAAAGCACATACATAGAAAACTTAAGTCATTTTTCTATTAAGACGTGTTTAACTTAGTAATCACAAATAAAGACAGGTCAGCAGACCTGGAAGCTGAGAGGATTCACTTGTCCTTCAAATAACTTAAGAAAAGATATAGGTAGAAATACACATGCATATATGCTCTGTAATGGGCATACTACAGAATTTCATTATCTACAGCCGAATTATTCCCCCCATGTGCCAGTTGTTTCTTTCAGTATTCCTGATATTAAATTAGAACTCATTATATTTAAATAGTTAAATCTATTCAGTGCCAGTGTGGAGTTCTTGACCATCACTGTCTTTATCTTACTTTGTACAAATGAGTTCCAGAAGGCAGCAAGAATTTTACAAAGATAGCTACATAAACTCGTTTGTATTAGCAATTCATACTGTAGATACTTTGGTGTTTTCTGTGTCTGACCATGATGCAGTCTGCAGAAGAAACTTACAGCTCTGCCACAGTTAAATTTGTTGTAGTGTTAAGAGTAAGGCAGGTTCCTGAAGTAGAATCATAGAATAGTTAGGGTTGGAAAGGACTTTAAGATTACCTAGTTCCAACCCCCCTGCCATGGGCAGGGACACCTCACACTAAACCATGGCACCCAAAGTATTGTGTAAGTACCTAAAGTACTTGAATCACTGACTACCACAGAATCACCTTAAAATAATAAACTACAATAACCGGGCTGTTAAAATGCGTATTTGTCTGGAAGGAATTTTGATGGTTGATAATGCTGGTCCAAAGTTTGCATAGCTGTGTGGAGAGATGAAGATTTAATAGGACTTGTGTGATTTAAATTAATGTCTGAGGTATCATATATCTTACTGGACAAGCCTAGGTCAAATGACTTGGGCAGGTTTAAGCTAAGGTTCTTGTACCCCAAAAGAGAGGAAAACACAGAGATGTGTAAACTGGTTTTAAAAACAGGCAAGTTGAAAACCAAAACTTTACATTAAAAGTAAAGACCAAGACAAAACAGTCACCTCATTGCCTCTGGGTGAAAAATATGGAGAATAACTTCAAAAGAAAGATGTCATTAGTCTTAAACGAGGAGAAATCTGGGAGGTGCAGCCTCTCCTACCTTTAGAAAGCTGCCCTTTAGAAGGTGATGCATCCACTTTGTTTTTTACCCCTGTGGCTTCATGTGGCTCTGGTTCCTTTCAAACTGGGCAGCAGCTCTTGAATGTCTTTAACAGTGACTAGCCAGGCACCCCCACAGAATCCAGGGGTTTGTTCCTTGTTATATATGTATGTTCCTTGTTTATTATGACATTAAATCCCTGTTTAGATTTTATCCTCCCTGCAGCAAAACCTTGGTCTGTAATGAATCCTGAACATTCAGGGAGCAGGATTAAGTCATTCGTATTTGCAAGGAACCCTATAATACCTTTTGGATGAAAGCAGCTACCAAAGTGCACAATAGTTATTTCACGAAAGCAAGTTGAAAACTACAGAAGTAATTTTAAAGAAAGAAATGCACTGCTTTGGTTTTATGGGTTTGAAATGGACCCATTTTCTGCAAAATTTTCTCCAGTATTTGTATCCAAATGTCACGGCATGATTTCATGGGAAAATTAAATTTCCCCAACTGGATTTTAAAATAGGGGATTATGGCATTTGCAGTAAGCAAATCTAAAAGGCTTTCAAACAATTAAAAGTATTAGGATGAAATCTCTATTGCTTCTTGCAGCAAGTTCTGTTTGAGAAGCTGGTCTTCCACACCGGACTGGCACAAACACTTTTAACCAGCTGGCTTATTCATTGTGCTGTTGTTCTACCCTGCGTTATAACACCGTTTATCACAATAATGTCTCTCCTCTTTCTAGTTTTTCACTTTTCAGTAAAGAATTATATCTGTAGAACTATGGTACTGCGTAGAGATGTTTACTTCGATAAGCAAGAAACTAATGGCAGGAGCACCGCTAGTCAGAACAATTCTGGTTTTACAACTGTAAAACATTAGATAAAGTACAGACAATCCATTTACAACACATGATGAACCGCTGTTTCAGAGGCTATACACTATGTCAAATGCTCTTGCTATTGGTCATAACTCGCTTACCGTGAATATGCTTACTAGTTCTTTTTTGTCAATACATCCGTTTCCATCAGCATCATATAGCTTAAAATACCATTTCAATTTTTGGTCAATTTTCCCTCGTATAACCAAATTTATGGCGGCTATGAACTCCAGGAAGTCTATAAATCCATCCTAAGAGAGAAAGAGAGAAAAACCTATTTAACAACTTTTGTTTTCTGTTCATTCTGGCAAGTTCACAGAAACAGGTCATCAAATTCACTATAACACACATTGAATTATAAAGCACCTTAACATAAAGTCTCTTCTGTAGTGTTTAAAAAGGATATGCTCAACTGGAAGCACTGTAGGGAGGGGTATCGGCACAGGTTTGTTCTCTGAAAGCTGGGGCAGTGGGGGTGAGGGGCAAATATGTTCTGAACAATCGTAATTGATGTTTTTTTGAGGAGAAGAGCAAGACTTCCACATGTGAAAAAGGGGAGGCTGGGATCTGTGGTTTGGGGCTAATGAGATGTCTGCAGCAGAGTTGCTTATATTCATATGGGTACTGCAGAACTATGGATGACTTCCAGTGCAACAAAGCTGTTCCAGGTGTCATCCATCTGAGAGATCATGTAGCAAGTGTTGTACATGATAACTGATAACCTGGCATGAACCCCAGGTACTGTGGTTTATCCATATAGACATCAGGTCTCTCTGACTAATGCATTTTGCATGGGATATAAAGCCTGCAAGTCGTAAACTAGTTTCTAAACAGTGAGGCTAGGGGTATATTCGCAGGGAAAGAGTATTTCAGATCAATTTAATTCCATATTTTCTGCTTCCTTCTCTGAAGCTACTGATGGAAGCCTGTCAAGGACAGGCCTCCATGGTCAGCTTCCTCTGTTTCTGTTCACAACGTGGTGAGGATGGAAGAAACAGTTGCTGAAGTTGGAGAGTATTTGCTCCAGCTGTTTCTCATGTGCATATAAAAAGAATTAACAGCTGGTAAATTTAATCTTGTGATCTTTACGTTGGTCAGAATCCAGTTGCTTGGAAAGACTGTCATCAGTTTCAGATGGTCTCTGGGTGAGAAGAGAAGGTTGGATGAGTATCTAGTGGGTTTAGCATGTTGCTTATTTTTATTGTCATATATCAGCAAGTGTCCTGCCAGTTGAGGTTTTGCAGTCAGCAGGCATTAATCTGTCCTCTAGGCTGTACTACGCTAAAGGGAAAGAAGTTCTGTAGAGGTGCAGTGCAACTCATTGCCACACTTCTACTGCTTGTTTTGGTTTCTAAGGCTGTTTGGCAGAGTGGCACCCAAGAGATAATCCCAATGTTTCAAACACACTGGATTCAAGGTACATGCAGAAATGGTGTGTGTGTAACTGTTGGGGACAGATTCCTTGTGCGGGTTCTGCTGTAGCTGCTGGATTTACTCTGATTGCAATAACAGCAAGCACAGCAAAGGCTAAGACACCATTGAACCACTGTTTGGGATGAAATGAAATTTAGCAGTAACTACATGCAGTTTTCAAACAAGGTTAGGTGCAGTATTAAAAGCAGATGCTTTACCAAAAAAAAAAGACAGATCATGTACCACAAACTTAATGCTTTTTTTTTTTTGGCACACCAGCTGGAATTTCAATTTTACGAGTATTATTTCAAGAAGCATCTCATCAAGTATTTCACTGAGGGCAAGGTTCATTTTGCTGATTACATTTCCATCATCTGATTTGATAGATCTATTAAAAATGTGGTTAGATGTGTTTCACATTGCTGCTTTTTTATTGCATTTCATGCTACTTACTGAATCTACAGATTAATTTTAGGCTTGCTGGATGCCCATGACCAGATTAATTTTCTTCTTTCTCCCTTACATTTCACTTTGGATCTTGGAAAATGGCATTTTGTTTGCTTTCGTTTTGCATCTCGGTTTCACTGTTGTTGCTGTGACAAAACATCAGAAGTTTGGACAAGGTAATAATCAGCTTAAAGTATTTGGGTACATAATTCTGATCTGGTGAAAGGGACTGAAAGCTAAGGTCAAAAAGCTTCCACCCCTGAAAAACACCTGAAGGAAATTGTAGTTGCTAGGAAAGCCCCAGCCACATTCCATAGACATGCAAGGACCAGCAGCAACATGTTAACTTCAGCAGCACCAGGAATAGGAACACTGAGAAGGAAGACAGGTTCATCTACCTGATGTGGAACCAGAAGCATTGTACAGAAGCACTGATGAGAAATGTTCTGGTTTTCTACAGCAAAAAACATACACTGTAGGAAGCAAAAATTACATGATGTAGAAGGCTATGGCGATCTTTCTACATGTACACAGCTTTCTCAGATAAATACTGTGCTTTTCGCAGTAGCATCCAACAGCCTCAGAATAGTACATTAAATAATGAAAAATATCATAGCCGTAACATATGAAGATCATCCTGTGGTTCTGGGAGTACAGCAAATAATAGAATAAATGTGTGATTTTATTAAAGGAACACTGCCGTTCTGATTTACCCATCTGCTGCTCTATAACCATTCACAATACAAGTATGTAGGTAGGTCCTTATGTATCTCCAGCATGCACATTAAAGTAACCATTGAGCATTAGGAAGTCAGTAATTCACAAGCAAAAGGCTACCATAAAAATAATAAATTATATCATAATAAAATAAAATTAAAAAAAAACAAACCAAAACCACAGCAACATAATAAGCTGAGCATAATTATCAGTGGTGGGAGATAAAAGTAATTTACTTCTGGAGCTTTACTGTGTCATTCCAAAGGGCAAATTTCAAGTACTTTTATTAAATGGAGTTAAAGCAGGTGAAGCTTATTTGCCAGTTTAGGACTGGACAGATTTGGGTGATGAATGTATTTCTTGTCTATGAAGGTTGATATTCCATGTCTGTATGCTGTTGGCCCTGCCTTCCTTGGCTGCAGCACATCTGGAGGGATGGTGAAGCCCTGCTCCCTTCCCTGCCTGAATAGGGAGAACCTGCTGGAGTAAGCTCACAAAGTATGTCCTCTGGGTATAGTGTAAAACAAGGGGACAGAAATGTCCTGGTGTGCTTCTGAGGAGTGGGTAGGAGATACACCAAAACCAAAATGGGTTAAAACTTCTTTTACAGGCCCCAAAGTCTTCTGGACTTTCTGCTTAACATAGCAGACTTCATAAAAGTATGCACTTTTCCTTTTAGGCTCTTCATGGACTGACCAGATGAACTTGAACCTTAAGGACGCATTATGGTTGTGCATGTGTTTATGCCCTTCGATGCTGTAACTTGTTCTGCTTTCACTGATGAGTGACTATTTTAAAGCTGCTTGGAACAGTCTTATTCACAAAACAAAGACAAAAGAGGGCCCCAAAACTGGAAGGAGAATTTGCTGATGGCATAAAATTTGTCCTCAGTAGCTGTCGCTGAGGACACCACCAGTCCTGACTATCCCTGCCCAGGGCTCAGGCCCCATTTCAGTTGTTCATTAGTTACTGGATCACCTGAGGAGAAAGCAATTGAATTTTCTCTTTTTGCTTCAGAATGTCAGCCTGTGTGCAGCTGCTGGAGGCTGCTCGCCTTTGTTTGCTGAAGATGGAGATGTGTGTCCTGCGAGGGCAAAGGCGGGCAGTGAAGGATCGTAGCGTTACACAACAGCAGTTAATACTTCAGCCCCAGAGCTGTAGGAGGGGGCATTATCCTTTCAGTTCCCAGAATAGCGTTGCTAATCTTCACAGGTCCTTAAAAACTCTCACAGCTTCAAACTATTTGAAGACAGATTAAAACTAATTGACTTCTCGGCTACGAATACACCGCTGATGTGAACAGGCACGGCAGTTCAGAATGAGCTGAACTTGGTGTTTTGGCTGCCTAGCTCTTACTTGAGAGTGGTTGTCTAGCAGAGTTGATGCAGTGCTGATGGGACAGCCAGCCATTTCCCACGACACAGCACAGCCATGCCTTTGGAAAGGGACAATTTCCCTGCGAAACCTTAGGATAAATGAATTCATCGTCTCTCTTGGAGCACTGAGGACATTACCAAGGATCTATACGCAATAAGCAGTGCCTTCCTTCCAAAATTTGCACCTGAAAAAAAGCCCTATACTCAGCCTGATATCAGGAGAATAGCTCAACAGGTTTTATAAGGATTAACAAGTGTGCAAATGTAGACGGTCTAGGTATTTCAAACCTAGGGGTTAGGACATTAAGCCACTTTCCCACCCCCTGTCTTTCAGAATACTGCTTAAATCTCGTAAGGCAGAGAGAGGACACACAGGTCAAACAGCAGATTACAACAGCTCAGAGTAACAGTGAAATTTATAGCTAATCCTGTGTGCTTCTCTCTTTCTTTCTAGATTCCATTTCAAATATAGCTCTGCTTTCTCTACCCTCAGAAGCCTGAAGGAGAATTCATTTCGCTCCATTTCATCTCCCCCCCCCCCCCCCCCCCCCATTTCCTTGCATTCTTTTTGCTTCTGAAGACTTTCAACTGTTCCTCAAAGGCTGTATAAGCATTATTGAAGAAATACAGAACTATTTGTGACTCTCTTACTTTGACACATCCCTAAGATCTGATACTGGAATTTGGGGCTTGCAGAGCTTCAGATCCTGTACAGGCTGTGGCTGGAATCACCAGTTTCCTAGCTAAACAAAGTTGGCATATATCATGGAGTGGGGGGAGACTCTTGGCAAGCAAAGTCTGTTAGGTAAGGATGAAGAATGAAGCAGGGAATTAGGAGTGGCAGATTGTTAAGTGGTTTTGTGGTAGTTGCATACCCACTGTTACATAAAGAGATGAGGCTGTACCGACCAGATTGTTACACAAGGTTCTACTTTGCCCAGGTGAAGAAGACCTGTGAGATATGGAACCCTTGTGTTAGAGGAGTTGGAAATGCAGAGTCAACTGTGTCCTCGCTCTCAGGTTTGTAGGCTACCCTGGTAAAACCTGGTGAAATCCAAAATGTTAAGGGGAGAAACAATTCTGTTTCTTTAGTATTAACAACTACTCCCCAACTCCTTGCCATCACTCATGATTTTGTTTCAAGATTACTGGAAAAGGAGGGAGATAAGAAAATCATCAAGGTATCGGGCTGGGTCCTGTGTTCAGCCTGCGGCATGGCACAGCAGTGCCCAGGAGGGCTCTATTGAAGGAGAGCATGTACTTAAGGACCTAGCCCTCTGTTGTCATTCCTGGGTGAT